ACCCCGAACATTCTATGATTCTATGATTCCTTCGGCTGGTCAGACGGAGAAGAGAAGTGCCCGGATCAGAGCATGCCAAAATGGACAAACCTGCTCGAGGGACTGGAGTCATTCAGCTCTGACTCTGCTGAGCCAGCGGTGGTCCCAGCCAGCGTTAGAGCAGAAGCACCTAATCCATGAGCTAAAGAGCTCCTAAGCTGGACATGAGAAGAGCCTTGTCCTTGAGCTGCCCACCTGGAGGGTGGGGCATTTGAGCTTGTATTTGTGAAGGCAATGACAACAGCAAAACCCTTTTAACCGTGGCTCTGCATGTATATCTGTATGCACATGTCTAATTTGGATGTTTACCATCCCACTTTCATGGTTTTCTGGCACAACTTAGTTGTCCACATTGTAGTCACTGGTTAGGTCAGTGTCGGGTAGCTGTTGTTTCTTTGGAGACAGAGGTGTCAGGTTTTGGAGGCTCAGCTGTCTCTGAGGAGGTGAGACAGCTCTTTCAGCATTGCAGAGCGTAAGAGCCAAACTCCTCACAAAACAGTGACGTGCGCCAGTGCATCCCAGTGTTTCTCATATCTCCTTGCTGCTAAGAGCAAAACTGCAAATAAAGGTCCCTTCCAACCTAGGCCATTCTATGATATCAAAGTACCATCATTGTTAGGGATCTTGCTTTGCCTTTCAGCCCACAGCCCTCTGCCAGCTGCATGCAACGAGGTTTGTTGGGCAGTTCGCAGCAGCAGGACTTCTTTCTGGCCTCAGTATGAGATCAGGAAAGAGTTTTGTGGCTTATTTCCACACTTCCAGCCCGAAAACTTCTGTGTCTGCACTGAGAAAGGTGCTGTTGTATCTTTCATTCGTTTATGGGGTGTGGACTGAAAATACATGATTCAAGAGGACATTGGGGCATTGATGACTTTGTAGGATTCTCTTCTTCAAGTAAAAGTGTGACAGACTGCAATTCATTTTACATACTCATAATAATTTCAATCTTTCTCTAGAAATAAATATTTTACAACAATGAATTATTTGTAAGCACTTTCCATGAAAATTAATTCCAGACTTTACAAATACATGATTCAAGAGGACATTGGGGCATTGATGACTTTGTAGGATTCTCTTCTTCAAGTAAAAGTGTGACAGACTGCAATTCATTTTACATACTCATAATAATTTCAATCTTTCTCTAGAAATAAATATTTTACACAATGAATTATTTGTAGGCACTTTCCATGAAAATTAATTCAAGACTTTACAATAAAAATCATTGCAGCAAACTGCTGTAAAGACAAAACCGGGATGGCTCCGTACTGTACATGTGTATCTGACTGTCAGAGAGAGTAAGGTCATTAATACAATTTAGATTAATGGAATGTTGAGATTTCTGAAGCCATAAATGGCTTCTTCACTTAAGGGCTTTTTGGTGTTTTGTTTTCTTATGTACCTTTTTTATCACCCTTAAGTTAAAAGGACGAAAATACTGTCAGCAGTGACTACACACTGCCACTCAATGCATCAACATGCCTGTTTTGTCGTGAATTAAACTGGCTCAGGTGCTGGAAGTGTCACGCTCAGTAGGTCCCTTTACTGTTTCCAGCTCTCAGGAGCTCTCTAGCAGTGGCTTGTCAGTGTGCTGCAGCATGTCTAATCCTGTGTCCATGTCTCCATTCATTGTCGTTGGAACAGGTGGAAGATATCACAGCTGTACATGAAACTGCAATGGTACAATTGGAAAATAACCACTTAGTTGCCATTACAGTACTGCAGGATGAGAATGAATGCAAGATTCAAGGTAAGCCAGGGACAACTCAATGCCTACAGAGCTATTCCAGTTCAGGAATTTAGCACTGTAGTGAGATTGTGTAAGCCTGGATTTTCTTCCTTCAGAGCAGACGGTACAGAAAATTTGTGTTGGTCTAGTGCTTTCACATGGGGTGGACCACCGGGTTCATGCGAGGGGGGAGGGAAAGCCGTGTGCAGTGGGTACAGCATCTAACTTGGACCTGAGGCTGTCTGAGGGGTCTTTGGGACAAAGCTGAGACTTACTTCGTGGGTCACTGAACATAGAGTCCAAATTCCACCTCCCTTCGTACTGACTTTTCTCAAGAGCCTGATTCTCAGGTGTGAGAGGTCATTGAACATCTCTGAATTTAGGTGCTTAAATGCTTACATTACTTCTGAAAACAAGACTCATCACTTTCAGTAACAAAAATCTGTCCAGGCTGAGCAGACCAAAACCACATACGGCTGCAAATCTGCACCTCAGCACGGTTAACTTTATTGTGTTTTAGAGTTTTCCCATAGGATTTGGTGCTGCAGACAGAGCTGTTTCCTCCCTACCAGTTCAGTATCTAAATACAGGTCTTTGTCCAAGCTTTAGCTGACGTTTGACAGTTATCTGTACAATCTTCCTCTTTTTTTTTCTGCACATAAGCATGAGAGTCTAAGTTTTAAATCGTTCTAGTAGATTTTCCCACAACTTTCCCCCAACCGAGCTATATTGCTTAGCTCTGCACTGTGTCAATTAGAGATAGTCCAGAGCACAACATGAGCTGAGAACAGTCTTTTCCCTTCTCCTGTAGGCAGAGATGCTATCTAGCACGCCATTTTTAAATTAATACGCACAAATATTATTGAAAAAAAAAAGAAAAAGCAGTTTCTTGCTTGAGAATATTCTTATCTCTCCAATTTTGTTAGTATTTTCTGGTGATTTATTAAGGCTCTTGTGGCCAGAGTTTGTGGTCCCTGCTCCCGGTGTGGGTATGAAATGCCCTCCTGTGCTTGGAAAAGGCATTGCAGCAGCCACGGTCTAGTGAGCTGTACAGGGCACTAGAGCATCGCTGTTATTACTGCTGTTACTGCGGGTAGCAAGCAATGCTTAGAGGGCAGAACCCCATGGGGTTGGGGGGGTGAAGACACAAAAAATAGTGTCCTTACACTAAAAACGTGGATGGTACTCCTGTACTGAATGACACTTTGATGCCATTGGTTTAAACTTTATTCCACTTTGGTTATTAAGCTTCTGGTTAAGATTAAATCCAGGGTGAGTTGTTCTAGTAGTGAAACCTTTAATCATGTTACATATATAGAGGAATTTTTTGCCTTCGGGCTTTGTCAGTCTCATTAATGGAATAAACCTCGGAGGTCATCTGCCACAATTCCTGGAGAAGCACTGTCATTTGCATTTTGCATCTGAGTTGCTGGCCGCGCTCTCTATCTCCCCAAAGAAAGTGCAACCCAAGCTCTTAAATATATCTAATTTAAAAATCTTTGATTTGGGGATGAACTGGTGAATTGGCCCATTGCCAGACTAACCCTTTTCAGATCTGAGCCTCTGGAAGATGGGAATTCTGAGCAGTTCTGAAAAATCAGAAATAGAAGTACCTGCAACCAGTGAAAGATCAGGAAATCGTGATCCTCAAAACAGTTCTCCTAAGATCGCAGAGTATATTGCTACTTGTTTCCTACTCAACCTCCATGCTCCCAAACTGCATCCCAAATTGTACTTGGCTCATGATATCTGTGCTCTCGGACCCTGGTTTGCTGGACTTCATTCAGCAATGTCATGTCTGTGTATCTTCCCCAGAACTGAACACTGCTCACAAACTGGAAAAGGCACAATTAGAAGAGAATTTTGAAAAACTGCGGCTGACGCTCCAGGTGGGCAGTTTCATTATTTCTCACCCTTTGTAAAGATGTCGCGGAGCAGCTGTCGGGGCAGCCCCAGCCCTGCTGCCAGCTGCCAGCACACCAGGCTCTTGCTTCATATCAGCTCTACCACCTCTTGTCCTCTGCCCATCCAAACTGGGATCTAGCAGCAAAGGCGCCCCCCCTCGGGTTTTTTCTCTCCCTTGGCTGGTTCAATAAAATTCTGTCTGAAAGAGAGGGCAAACCTAAAGGGAGGAAAAAGCAGATGGATATAGCAAAAAAATGTCCTTTTGACCTTGCTCGCTGCTGGCCCAGCACAAGGAGCAAAGCTGAGCTCTTCCCTGCATGGTGGGGAGGGCTCCAGCACCTGCAGTGGCTGTGAGCATCACCTTGTCTACGTGCTACCCACTGGCAGGCACCCCTGGGGCTTCAGGAATGCTGACATCTCTCTGCTTGGCCTTGTGACTGTGCTTTAAATTCTTCCCCACTACCTGAATGTGAGAGAGACAGTCTGACAGTATCGATACATCTCCATTCCCCCCGGAGGGCAATGGAGTCCCTGATGAGGGATGCCCCCAGGCTGGTCCTGCTGTGCAGCCAGGCTATGGCCAGCCAGGGTCAGCCCTGTACGTCCCATCTCCCACATCCCACTATTCAACATAAAGCTCAAGATCATCTTGGCTTTTTCACTCAAGATAACTCAAGAGAGTTGTTGGAAATAACTCTCTAGATGAAGAAATCCCAAGGAGCAGAGAGCAGAAGCATGCCCCTGTGGTTCACATTGAGTTTGGAAGTCTCGTGTGAACAAGTAAAGACACGACAGCAAATAGTACAAGCTCTGCTTGATTTCCTAGGCAGAGATGGGTTACCATTTTAAACCCCCAGACTAGGACATACTGTTGCATGCAGCAACTGTCACTGCCTTCCTCATGCAGCTGTGACAGTTCAAGGCATGCCAGTAATTTTGCAATAAGCACAGATGTAATGTTACAGCCAAGAAATTACATATGTGAAAGGTAAGAATACCAGTTTCACATCAACTATGGCTTTTACAGATGTTATATAGAGAGATGTAGCATGAATGCCTTTGGTGGTAACAGAAACACAATTGCTTAAAATAACGTGTTGCTCCTGTATATAGCTCTGAGATGATGCAACAATCATTTAAAGTCCATACCATTAACTCGTCATTGCCTGTTACCATGGCAGAAGCCTAGAAATGTGAAGGAAGCAGAGATGGAGTATCTACCGCCTCATTCAGACTTTAAGGACTGTACAAAGGTTCTCTTTTACACCTGTGATACAAATGCCAGTTCTCTTAAGGAAGGGCATGCTCTTTCCAGGTGATGGGGTGATTTAATTTCATGAACTAGTGCCAGGCAGTGTCAGCCAGCCGCAGGTGTTGCAGGATTTCAAGATTCCCTGAAGCACTGGGTTATCAAAACCCCAAGTAAAGTGAAATTACATAAAAAAATACCACCTTGCAGGGGTTTCTAAGCCTTGTTCAGCTTCCCTGGTGGTTTCACAGTACATATAGATCAACTTGCATGAATGTAAGAGGGGTGATTACATGTTTGGTCTGTTCGTTGGTGTGTCTCCCCTCCAGGACCAGATAGACATCCTCACCTTCCAGAACCAATCTCTTAAAGCCAAAGCAGACCGATTTGAAGAGGCTCTGAAGAAAAACAATGAGGAGCAACTGAAGGTAGATGTCAACTATAACTACACAGTCATCAAGACAGGTGTTTCTAAGTATGACTCACACCACACGACTCAGTGGATAGCAGTGGGACTCTTACCCCAGGGGCAGGTCCCAACCAAGACCACAAGTCCTGAGCTCTGAGGAGAGGTCAGAAGTCTTAGCCAGGGACCATAGTTTTCTGATTTTATTTATTTTTCTTTATTCTTTCACTCTGCATTCATAGCTCTGTTTCCAATACATTTAATTAACTCTGTCTACCATGTCCTTCCTGCTGTCTGTTCTTCTTTCCCTTCGTCCTCTCTTTACTTTTTGTCTTTTCACGTTTAGATTTCTTTCTTCGTGCTTTGTGAACTAACTTTTTTTTTATGTCCTCTGTATTCCCTCAAATTTTTTTTCTGGACTTTCAAGGGACAGCCCTGTCATATGAAGTATTTAATCAACTGCTGTGTATTGGGGTCATGCTGTTTATTTACAGTATGTAAGAGAAGACACTGCAATTATTTGTCTGAAATTAATTAATCCTGAAATGACCCTCCAAAAAGAGTTTTATTTTAACTTGGGGCCTTTCAGTGTGTTTACAGCACAACCTCATGGGCAGTTGTATCAATATGATAGAGGGGACAGCATGAAAATTATGGGGTGAGCAAGGGACTTGGTGAGTTTTTAGGTGAAAAGACTTCTTATGAAAGCAGTGCAAATGTCTGAAACAGGCTTGGACCTGGGAATTAGGTAGCATCAGTCTATTTCCACCTCTACCACAGTGTTTAATGTACATGAAAGAACAAATTCTGCTGTGTCACAGTGATGTTAATGCCAAGTACCACCAGACAGTTCACTGGAGTGAGTTACACTGGGAAAAATCCAGAACAGTTTAAGTCAGTGACAGTATTTAATCCATATAATTCAGAGCACACATTTTGCCCATGAGTTGAACCCTAGTATCCCCTACATCTGAAGTTCTCAAGCAGAGGAGCAACTTTTTCCCACCAGATCTGATCAGCCAAAGAGATGGTCTGGGAGAGAATGTCAGGGTTCAGATGGGGTGTGGAGGCCCACGTCCAGATGGTTTTCACATTACTGAGTCTCCTAAACCACTGAGTGCATTGAGGAAACTTTATCCTATGGCTGAAGATTCATTTATGGCTGATAGATATCTAAATCACTGGTATATTTCCTAGATTGCACGAGCTCCCTATATGCACTTAGAAAAAGATCTCAAGAGCTTAAAACATGTTCTGGAAATGAAGAACCACCAGATTCACCAACAGGAGAAGATGATTATGGAACTAGAAAAGCAGGTGAGTTGCCATTTCTCCTCCTGAGGAGACATCATGGAAGTAATAAAGTAAAGTTTGGTTATAGCAGATGTACTTAAAAGGGGTGAGAAAACACATGAGGTTGGGGCAAGACACAAAGAGGTCCATGAGTGGCTACATATTGTGTTGTTCCACTGTCAACCTACATAGCTGGTTCTACTATACCATGTTGCAGGTTTTTGCTCAGAAACTGGGATCTTTTCCTATTACTTCACCCACTCACAATACCCTTGATTTCTTCCATGCATCCATTGATCTATATTGCTTTTCCATGCAATACTTGCTCAGCCTGTTATGTCAGACAGTGAGGCAAGTGGTGTAGGAAGAATGGAGGCAGGGGAAATCTGTGGTCGTTCAAGGCTTCATTTTGTTCACCAGCCTGCACCATATGCCCTAAACAGGAGTCAGGTAACCATTTAGGGCTGAAGAGGGCAAGTGGAGGAAGACTGAGCCATGTATGTCTTGCTGCTGCTCATGAAGAGGTTTAAGGAGCTCCTACCATGAGTGTGAATTAGCAATATTCAGCAAGTAGTCCCTAGCAATGCTTATGCTGGGAAGGGTCTCTCCAACCCTAAAGTAATGCTTTTCTGCAGCCTACGCTGTTTTCTCATCCTTTGCTTGTGGAGGTCCCTAAGAAAGAACTGCCCAGTTCACCACCAATTACATTTTTGGTTGGAAAGGGTGTTCATTTTGTAAGGCATAACCTACAGTGACAGTAAATGTATAGTGTGGTGACAGGATGAGACACTACCTCAGCTGGGGAGCCAAGACAGCTGGTTCAGCACAGCATTCAGCAATATTTGTTTCCATTTACAGGGAAATTTGAGAACTCTGGTGATCATTTTGCTGAACAGATGCTTGAGTAAGTGGATGTAGAGAAAAGTGCCTCTTTACAACTGAGGCTTGTTAACTGTGCTCCTTCCAACATGCAGTTCCTGGAGCTAAGCCAGCATCTGAAAACATGCACTGTAGTGTTATACTGGGAAAAAAAATAAAATCTACAGAGTTCCGGGTCATATAGCTACTTTTGCTAATTAATCACATAGGAGCACGTGGTCCTGCGCCTGCATTTTATCACAGGAACACACTGGATCAACTGTGGTCCGAAGGCACAACTACCTTCTGTTTAAAGATCTACCTTTCTAAGTGCCAGAACATCTACAGGGCACCCCCAAATGCTCTGAAAGCTGGGCTGCCTCATAAGGGAGCAGGAGGGCATTTCAGATACAAGATCAGGCTTGGCTTCTCTGCTGGAAAGGGAGGTGGCAGGAGAGGAGTGGTATAGCACAAGTGTTGCAGTGGAGAGGGGAGGGGATGCAGAGCTTTTCTCCCATGCTTCATACTGGAATAGATACTACTTAAAAAAAAATTATTGAGGAAGCAGTGACAGTGCCCTTGACAACGATGATTCTTATCTCAAAGCATTTCAAAATAGAGCCAGAATCCTTGCTCTAACACAATATACCAGGATGGGCCAGAATATCTGAGAATATCTGAGAATCAGGAGTATCCTTTATGGTTACCTGCATAGACTGGGAACCACTGCATAAAGCTGATGCCTCCACCATAAAGTGTGAACTATTGCTAACTCCAGTGCACAATATTCTGGTTATTTATAAAAGACTGGGAAAATCAATATCCGAGCTCACAGAGAGATAAGGTTACCCTGTGACATCTTGTTCTCTTCTGAAAGTGTTGAATTCAGCAAAATTCAGACTGCGGGAAACCCAAGAACTAAGGTGATAAAGTATGTCAAATTCAGAACTGGGGAAAAACAGGGTCTATGAGGCTGTGGTACATGCCTATAATCATCTTACTGATGTTTTAATACACTGCTATTGGCATCTTCGAACTCTGTCCTTGGACTGTCCTGAGTAAAAGATACCTAGGCTTGGGGTAGGATTCATTTCACTTCATTGTAGCTTAGAGTTAAATGTCTAGCTTAAGCCTGTGATTTAAGCAGACGCTGTCAGCAGTGGGGCGAAGTGTCTCCAAAGGGCAGCCCACCTCATATGAATGCAGCAGCAGTCTAAGGTTGCTGCTGGGCATAATCTGCCATGGTGGGTAATTCTTTCCTCTCCACAACCGGGGAATCATAATCCTAGAGGTTGGATGCCAGACATTTATGTCCAAGGAGGTTAGCTGAGCTGGATGATGCATGTACCACCTTCCGCTCCACCTTCATCGCTACTCACACCACAGCACCCTTTCCATGCTGGGCATCCCCATGCTCCCCAGAGCTCCCTGTCCTAGAGCAACAGCTGGTAGTGCTGGCCCCTCAGAGATGAAAGGTCTGGAGACATCACTATGAAGATGTTTTACTTGTGCTGGGCAAGAGTAAGACCCTTGTCTTCCTAAGTTAGAAGTAAGGGCTAGTTCGGCTCTGCCCCTGCTCAGTGCTCTGCTGATGACCCCGCGTTAGTTCACCACTATGATGTGGTGTGAGTCAAATCTCTTTAAGTTTCAGCTGCAGTCAAGATGACCACCTCTATCCATCCTGAAGTTTTAGAAGTTGCTCTAGGGACAAATAAAGAATAGTTTCTCTTGGATCAGGTGTTGGACTTGCTTCAGACTTAACAAGCCTTCTTTCATTGCAGGCTGAAAAAAAGTTAAAACTGGAAGAAAAAATCACCGTGCTGCAACAGCAGAATGAAGAACTCAGAGCCAGGATTGAGCAAAATACTGTCATAACAAGGTATGTGCTGATATTTGCAATCTGTCTAAGTTTGAAAGGAGCCTGCAGATCTTAACTTCCCAAGGCTGACACTTACTTCAGAAGGGGAAAAACTTATTTCCTCCTCAAAGTGCATTGGTGTCCTAGTCTGCTTGTTTTATTAAAAAATCATTTTTGTGTTGGGATTGGCTTACTTTAACATAAGGAAAGCCATATATCTGTCTGTCTGTGTTTTACCATGATTTTGATGTGGTTCTGAGAGCAAAGTTGCCAGTGGCTTCTCATCTCTGTGCCAGTGCCTTCTAATCTCTGTGCCAGTGCCCTGAAACCCATTAGTTGGTGGGTAACAAGGAAGCAGGGCAATTTCAGGAGAGACATCCTAACAATGCTGCTGTCACCCAGGTGGGGTTATCCTTTGGTGTTCTTTTTCTTTTCCGCTGTCCGTTTGCCCCCTTGTCACAACTTGCCAAGGGTAACAAGGGTCCTTGTGTTAGTTGGTGTATTAATAGAGAAGGGTAGGACAGTCCTTGGCCCAGAGTTTATAGTCTGCTGTAAGGCAAGAGACTGCAGCTGGAGCCAGCAGAAGGGGTACAGGGGGGGATGCTGGAGCTAAACTTGTCCCAACATTGTTGCCATTGTTGCCAGAAAGGATGACATTGGCCTGAAATGCAATTTAATTTTTAGCTGACTTTTTAAAGCTTCAGCATCTCATCTATGAATTAATTTTCATTTTTGTCTCTCTAGTGTCTCCCTTGTTAGTGATTCAGCCTTTAAAAATAAAAAAATAAAAGATAAAGATATTTTTAAGAGGCAGCATTACTCGTACTAACATCCAGGTTGGGGTAAGGATTATGTTTCCTTGTAAGTACCTGTCCCTGTCTGAGGTGGGTGTTTACAGCCTTTCTGTGCTTAAAGAGTTAAAAAACAGAATTTTTTTAAGGTCCAGACCAGTTTGAGACGCCTGCTTTTGAGCTGGATGAAATGTGGTCTGGAAGGGGCAGTCTCTCTCCACGCCTGTGACAGCAGTGAGGGTGCTGGGTTCAGAGCTTGGCATCTCTGCATTGCAGTTACCGGTCCTGGCTGGGCAAATCACACCCTCCACTCCCTGCCGGCATCCTTTGCTTCTTGTCTGTAACCATATAGGTACTGGTTTCAAAGAGCATCTTTGGGGAGAAATACTGAAGTTGAGGTCAGCCTGGAAAGTCATCTTAGAGGATGGTCATTTTCAATAGTAACAGTCTGGGGACAGCTCTGGGAACAAGCTACAGCGACAGTGTCAACCAGGGCTTTAAAGTCAGCATTATGAAAACATGCATTTTCCTGGCAGCAGGAGCTACCCCGACTGCTCGTTTCTGTTGTGCTGGCTCTGCCTGGGAAATGCAGCGTGAAACAGCTCAGGGAGCTGCTTTTGCTGTGGAATGGTGCGGATTAAGAGATATTTCTGCTGATTTGCAGTTTGGGTGCCTGCATGGCGTGACAGCCCAGCAACAGCGAGAGGAGGGAGGGGAGCAGGAGAGAGGGGAGAGAGAGCAAAGCCAGCCTTCACAGCACGGCCAGGAGCAGTGTCCCAGAGGTGTCAGAGAGCTGAAGGTTGCACCACAGAGGTATTTCTTATCATAGCCAAAGGCAGGTACAAAGTAAGGGAGAACAGCCTTTCAGGTAGATCATGCACCAGCTTTGGACACAGGAGCTCCTCAGAACCTCTGCTGGGACTTCCCCAAGCACTTGAATATCTGATTTCCCAACATTTCAGATTCTCCCTCCAAATCAACCAGCATTTTTTTTGGTCCTTTGGACTGGGGATATTTGGAGAATGGTCATTTCCAGCACCCTAGAGATGACCAGGTGGGTGTCTGGTCTCTGTTGGCATAGTCCAAACACCTACTGACCTCTCTTTTTGGGAAAAGCTTTAACGTGAGTTAAGGGCATGAACTGAGTCCTTCCTCTGCATCTCTTACCACATCAGCGTGTCCCTGCAGACCTCTGTGGGTTTGTTGGTTAGCTCAGTGGTTTGAGTGCGGTGCTGGCAACAATGACAACAGCGAGGTCATGGGTTCGATTCCCGCTCGTCTAGTCCCTGCCCATGACAGGGAGGTTGGATTCAATGATCTCTAAGGTCCTTGCAACCTAGGCCATTCTATGAAATATTCTATGAAATATTTATTACAGCTGCTTAAATTGTCGGGAGGCTGGCAGAGGAACACATCTGATCATAGGTCTGCAGTGCTGGGGGTAAGGGTTTCTCCAGATGCATTATGTCTAAAATTGGAATGTATATCTCACGGTACAAACTTACATAGTTAAGACATATTTGCTTTTGCATTGCTTCTCTTCTCCTGCCTGAATGATGAAGAAAGGCTGAATAGGTGTCTGTATCTTTTATTAGCAGTGATACTGCCTCTGTCCATCTCCCTCCCTGTGGTGCGACAGCGGCAGACACAGGCTGGCTGAGCTGAAGGCAGAGGTTTTGCCAAAGGATGCTGGCACTGCTGGCTGTACAAGCTGTCTCTGTCTCTGGGTGGTGGGAAGCTGGCTCTGACTGTCCAGTCATATCAGGCAACACACTGTAACTCCCAGTACAACGTGCCTGAGCCTAAAGGAAGTAGCACAGGAAGGATCAGCTCCTTTCTCCATCCGTGTGCCAAGCCAGGCCTCTCTGGAGGCCATGTCCTCGTGCTGCGTGGTGTGTTCACAGGCACTTGGCTGCAAGGCTCCTTTCTGCTCAGAAGTCTCCCTACTTACCTGCAGGTCATGCGTATAACTTGCAGCCTGGCTCTGCCACCAAAGTGCAGCGTACGTTAGTGCCACAAAGCCTGAGAGACGCTCCAGAGGACATGGATACCAAACATTCTGCCTTACCTCTAGCAAGCAGAGTCAAGCCTCCAATGTAAAGGAGGCTGGTACGTGCTGACAGGCTTTGCTTGCCTCCTGCCCAAGCAGTGCCTTTAGTAGAGGAGGGAGCTGAGACCTTCATTGTGCTCTGAGGTCTGTGCTGCTGTGACTAGCCTGTTCCCAACACCCGGATGAGCTTTACCAACCAGTCACACACTAAGAGCTGCACAAAGTCAGGGAAGGCATGTGCTTTGCTTGGTTTTTTTATATTTCCCAGCAAATGCTGTCTGGAAATGGATGTAGTGGAGCTTTGTATATAACTTTTATAGCCTATCTTGTTAGACACTGCAAAAGAAAAATTAATTCTGTGTGTAGAAAAAGGTTTCCTGTGGAGTTAGTTCTTCAGGATAGTGAGCTCCTGTGTTAGATAATGAGCTCATGCTACAGCTGATTCCTCAATGGGATCATGAATAAGATCTTCCTCCTCTACCAGGCAAGCACCTTTGGGAAAACTTCTGCCAACTTGGTTTTTAATCCTTCCACTCTGCAAGCCACTGCTTTGTGGTTCAAAACTTACAGGGAAAGGGAGAAGAACAGCCATATTCTTTACCACCTGAGTTCCATTTCTGTAGGAACTGAGGCTAAAAGAGCAGAAATTATTTTAAATTTTTTTTTTTAAAAGTAACCCCACCCTCTCTGAGACTTTTGACAACACAAAGAGCATGGACTAGCAGCCTATGACATCTCAAATGGGCTTCAGGCTATATGCAGAAAAAGAGTTGTGCAGAAATTCATGTATGCATCCAAAATCCACACCTAGCTGCTACTGAACTCCAGAAATACCTAGGTGGGAGGTTAGGTGCCTCCCTATTTATTTCTATAAAAACCTATGTTGCCTGTAAATCAGGTTAGGTACATGCCCAGAGCTGCCCCAGGCTGATCACATCAGGACCTGGCTCCTGCCCAAGCCTAATGGTGCTGCAGAAGCCAGGTGTTCCTGCCTGCATCCTCTGAGATGGTGATGTTGCCAGCACATGCCCAGAACACGTCTCAGTCAGGTCCCACAGTCTGCCTGCACTGCCCCATTTCTTTTAAAACCAGTCACCTAGTTAGATGAGGTTTCCATGCCCTACCTCCCCAAAAGCCATCAGGTTATAGGGCATTCTGGGGAATACACCTCCCTGGTCCTTGCTGGTGAAGTTTCCCTGGTGTTGCAGTCAAGAACAGAGGGGTTGTTAGGACCAAGGAGGAAGGAGCTGGAGAAGGACCCGTAGCCTCATGATGATTTGCACAGGAGTGAGAAGTCCTTGAAGCTGAGCTGCATCCTGCATCAGGACATCAGCTAAAATGGGGAGCATGCACAACACAGGCTCCTTTCCCTTTGCATGGGGTGGCAGCTGGTTGGAAGAGTCAGGGATGCAACTGCTGTCACCTCTTTGCTCTTCCTCTGCCACTCCACAAATGCTCTTTCACTCATGGCACAGCTTTGGTGGCAGGGTTGAGAAACAAGGATGAGACATAAAGCTGCCCACACAGCTGGGACTTTGAATTTTCATCCTTAATCAGACAGAAGAAGGCCTAATATCCAGGATTGTCCTTCTCTGGGGACTGCCCTAGCTGCCGTGCTGCTCTGGAAAAAATGGGGCAGCATTGCAAGCACTTCTGGGTTGTAAAACACCACAGGGCAAAGGTGGCTGGAGCCGGGCATTGAAGCTGAGGAGAAAGCACCTGCCTGCCCTTTGTGCTGCTATTGGTTATCTGCAGCTGTTCCATTGCTGGGGAAGGCCATGTTGGGTCGATCTCTGAAGCCTTCTGAGTGCAAGAAGAGAAGACTTGGCTACAGGGCAACACCTGCAGGGAGCACAAGTGCCCACTGACCCAAGGCTCTGGGCTCCATGTGAGGGTGGATTTGGCTCTGCAGAGATTTATGGGCACGTTCCTGGGTAGAGGTGAACAGATTGTGCAAAGAGGCCTCAATACCATGCTGGGCACCTTCCTTCCTCTATGTGCTGAACCAGGAGAGATAAGGCCCTGATCAGCCTCATTACGTAGTAGCTCACAGGCGGCCAAAACCAACTCAGCCACAAGCAAGTATTGATGAGGACATTTGAAACCACGGTGCATACCTACATCCCCAAGCTAAGTGTCAGGGGCTAGCTCTGAAGTCTTCTCCAGACATCAGTGGCCAAGACTGGGCATAAGCGTGAGACTTGCATGGATCTGGTATGCTCTGCAGTCCTGGTTGCCCACCATGGAGACTGATGGGGCTTTTTTCACCTCCCACTCTGCTCCATGCCCTCCTAGGGAAGCCCAGGACCAGGGGAAAGTGAGTGCATACCTACACTTGATCTCAGTCTACATTTCCAGTTACCCTCTCCACTCCCTCTATCCATGAGTGGAGAATGCCAGCGTTGCAGTGCACAGCAGCCTTGCATTTTTTGCTACTTTCAAAAATACAAATAAGGAAACAAATGTGGTGAACTTTTTCTTTTAGGAATTTCCAGTTTTTACTCTGTAGTCTGTATGGGGAAATGGCCATTTCTAAAGCATGTGGAGTACGTGGTCAATGTGCAAAGCCTTTGGCACCTTTGCACATCATGCATGATGCTGACAGTTGCACAAGGCCACGGAAGAAGGCTGGGGCTCGTGCCATCTAAGCTTTGGCAGCTGAGTTGCCTCAAAGAGGTGTAGAGCAAAGACACAGACACATCTGGAGACAGACACTGGGCGACCACCGTGACTTGTGGACATGCTTTTCTTGCCTGGCACCAAAGAGACTGGAGGACAGCTGTATCCCAGTTTGTGAAGTTCAGTTGCAGCCCTAGGGGCAGGTGGATGATAGATGGGATGGGATGGGATGGGATGGGATGGGATGGGATGGGATGGGATGGGATGGGGGCAGGTGCTGCGTGGCCCTGCCTCTTGTGCAGCACTGACTGCATTAATGCCACCATTTTTCACTGACACACCTTACACGTCGTTCCTTCTTCCCTCTCCAGGCAATTGTCAGAGGAGAACGCTAATCTTCAAGAATATGTTGAGAAAGAAATGGAGGAGAAGAAGAAGCTGAGCAAAACTAACGAAGAGCTCCTCTGGAAACTACAGGAGGAAGATGCCGTGAGCCCCGTGAAACTCCCATCCACATCATCCACTTCTTTTTACCGCTGCTCATCAGCGAACTCCTCTCCAGCAAAAGTCAGAACCTTGCGGCAGTGATTCAGCACCTGCATGCCGAAGGTCCCCTGCCTTTTACGCATTTCCAACCTGCTAAATGTTACCATCTGAGGAAGTATTACCATCAATAGGCACCCAGGGTTCGTGGCTGCAAGCATGCTCGGTAGCTGTAGAGTTTCATGCTAGGCAGGGTACTCTCAGAGTCCCCATATAGGAGCTCTTGGTTCTGACATGTTGATTAGAGTAGCAAAAAAAAAAAAAGATAGCAAAAAGCTAGGACAGCAGAAAGTTAGGATAGCAAAACATTTAGTTTGATGTGTTAACATTTTAACTATGGTTAGAGCCAAAAGTTGGAAAGTATTAACAGTTCATCAGAATGAACTTTTGCTGCAGTATTTCAGGTTAGTTACAAATACAGTTCAAGTTGTGAATATTTCTGTATATGTGTCTGTGTTTATATACATGTACGTATTGAACCTTTATACCTATATATAGACGCACACACATATATATGTAGTTGAAGATGTTCTGAATTGCATTTTTTTATATTATTGGATACTACTAAGCGCTGATATATTTTCATTACAGTCAGCAGTTTTCTAACTCGTGCCTAAAGACTTGTATCTGAACAAAATGCATTTCTGTTTAGCCTCCCAGGAATATTTATACCCAACCTAGAAAAAAGTTACACAGACGAAGAAGCACCTTCCAAATGACCACCAAGTGGTACTCTATGTAACATGAACACCAGCGACTTTGAAATTCTGAGACAGTACTGCCTTCAAAACCATTACCTTTGCATTGAACATGAGATAAGACACGCATACCATTCACTGCTTTTTAACTCTTTTAGCATCAATATTGTAAGTGGAGATAGGCTAGAGATGAGAAACCTGAGGGTTTTAGCAAATTTAGTAGAGGTTACTGGTTAACGTGTTTCAATTTTAGTGTCTTTGAATCCTAGTTAGATCTTACCTTGTTTTACCTTGTCCAGATTTGGATACAATCAAAATCTCTGGTTGTAGGTTCCTGTGCATTTTGATTTATTTCAAGTCCCATAAGCAAGAAGCAGAAAGTTAAGTTGTTCGTCCTTGACCTTTGCTGGCCAAGAGGTTTCTAGTACTAGGATGAGATACCGGGCACCTGCCAGGACTCTACCCTTTTCCCATCTAAAACCCCAAATAGAGCACAGCAGAGTATATGGGCAAAAACGAGGTCAGAATTTCTTTCCTTCCACATATAGAAATATACATATTATTTCAAATCGCTAAAGCTTACCCAAAGTTACAGAGCACTTTTAAGATTCATGGAAAAAAGCGGCTAAACTACCTTTAACTTCCCTGCCTAGAAGCAAAAAAATTCATCCAGGCTTGGGGTGATCACCACCCCTCGGCCAAGCAGCGATTGAGGTGTCACGGGCTGCAGGGCTCTCATGGGCACTGCTCGCAAGAAGAAAATACCCCTGAGCATAAGCTTTTTTTTAAAATAAAAGATATTTGCGGGATGCTTTTCCATCCAGCTTGGGGCAGAGAGCCAGCGTGCATTCTTTTCTCTGAGCAACAGGGTCAAAGTAAGTGGGAGAGAATACGTGCAGCAAATCACCGTGAGCAGGGCTGGGATGGCGCTGCCCCACCAGACTGCTCGGATGGGAGCTGTGCTTCAGCTTTCCTGGGGAGGACTCAGGATTCACAGAGTGCAGCTTAGATACAGCTTCAATCACCGGCAAAAACGTCTGTGGCCTTTTCCACAGCGTTAAAAAAAAAAAAAAAAGGTGATTTCTTCTTTTTTTTTCTCCTTTTTAGAGAAATTTATTTTTGTAGTAGCTTTTGCATGATACTGTGATACTGAGTAAATCAAGCATCTTGTTAGAATAAATCACGCCATACCAACTACTACTGTTGAAATGCATTACTAGATTTTAGTGCGTCCAGCAAGTACAATCTGATACCTAGCACACATATGCACACAAAGCCCCTTCTTGCCGAGTACACTTGTAATCACGTTCATGCTTGCTAAATGCACAGCTATCTGCAATACCTGCTGCATTGTCACGTTTCATCCTAAATGCAATTCTAATACAATGAGATCATAGGATGATTTGGGTTAGAAGGGACCTTTAAAGATCAGCTAGTCCAACGCCCCTGACATTGGCAGGGACATCTTCCAGCTGGATCAGGTTGCTCAAAGGCCCATCCAACCTGGCCATGAACACTTCCAGGGATGGGACAACCACAACTTCTCTGGGCAACTTGCTCCTGTGCCTCACCGCCCTCACAGTAAAGAATATCTTCATGTCCAGTCTAAACCGACAGTCCTGCAGGTGGGAAGTTCTAAACCTACAGTACTCCAGAGTAGAGGGGGAGAATCACCTCCTGTGACTGGCTGGCCACGCTCCTTTTGATGTGGCCCAAGATACGTTTGGCTTTCTGGACTGTGAGCACACATTGCCAGCTTGTATTCAGCTTTTTATCCGCCGGTATCCCCAAGTCTTTTCTGCAAGGGTGCTCTCAATCCACTCGTCGCCCAGCCTGTATTGATACCCCAGTCCAGGTGCAGGAGCTTGCACTTGGCCACGTTGAACCTCAGGAGGTTCCCAAGCCTGTCAATGTCCCTCTGGATGGCATCCTGTCCCTCAGGCATGTCAGCCTCATCGCTCAGCTTGGTGTCATCCATAAACTTACTGAGAGTGCACTTGATCCCACCATCTATGTTGTGGAATATATTAAATAGTACCAGCCCCAGTATGGAACCTTGAGGGACATGACTTGTTACTGATCTCTGTTAGGACATTGAGCTGTTGACTGGAACTCTTTGGATGCAGCCATCTAGCCTATTCCATATCTAATGCCCATCCATCAAACCCTTATCTCCCCAATTTAGCAACAAGGATGTGTGGGACTGTGTCAAAGGTCTTACAGAAGCCCAGGTAGATGGTATCAGCTGCTCATCCCTCATCCACCAATGCAGTCACACCATTGCAGAAGGCCACCAGATCAGCCAGGCTATTGGTAGTTTTTAGAGTCCTCCTTTTTACCCTTTTTAAAAATGGGTGAGATGATACAACCAGAGCTGTTTCCATGATGTTAATCTAAACTTTTCCATGCTAAACACACTAGAACATATTATTGGCCTGGGACAGGCTGGCTGAGCCTGCCCTTTTTTAATTTATTCAATCTTTCCCTCTATTTCTGGTGTGTTCCTTATCACTTTATTGGTTTAAATCCATATGCAACAGATGCTTCCAGCAGTGAATTGGGAGTGGGACTTTTATGGTTGGAAAACTGGGACCGATCCCAGCTCCACCATCATTTGGTATCATTGCCAATTCCTTTCCCATCAAATTTTTGCCTCCCAATCCTGCCTCTTACTAGATTCTTCCTTGGCACGGACTCTGGGGCCTGCCTGATCTCTAGCAAAGCTGCAGGATATTCTACCTGACCAGGAAGGACCCAGCAACCCGTCCGTGAGAGGGTGTGAAGGGTGGTACCTTCCGGTGCAAGCCCAGAAACATGGACTTTTTTCCCCCAGAAAAGGTTATTCCTTTGTCCTGCTCTTCCTCTGCCTTGTCTGTCCTTTCCCCTGCATGCTGGAGTAGGTCTGAAACAAAAGCTGAAGTCACTTGGGCAACGGGAAGAAGGAAACAGCCCCTGAGTCGGGCAGCCATTCTTGGGGGATGAAGACCCCCAAGCCCATGACCTCTGCTCTTGGCCAGGGAGCTGTGACCGTGCAAGGTGAGCTTGGCCTTCCCAGTGGCATGGGAGCCACATCTCTAATCCTTGATCCCCGACCATCCCTGCTCAAAGGCAAGCAAGGGGAAGCTCTTTCTTCTGGGTGGCTGAAGGCTTCCCAAATGCCACAGGTGCAGTGGGGGCTTTCCCATTTGGCAGGGTAGGGTGGCCTTTGGCAGGAGAGGGAAGGCAGCCAGTGCTAAGCAGAGAAGGGTTTTATTGCCCCTAGGTCTTTAAAAAAAAGCTGGTTCGTTTGGTTAATCTTTATTCAATGCAGAAGGCTGCAGTAGCAATAAAACCAGCCTGCAGCTGCTCTGAAAGGGCTCCAGAGACCCACAGTGGGAGACGGTAAGAGAAGTGGGGCTGGCAGGAGAGTCGTCAGTGAGTTGGGGCTTATGGAGAACTGGGAGAGTTGGAGGAAAGCTCCTTTTTTTTTGCGGGAAAGCACCGTTTGGCCCCACTGGGATGGCACCTTCTGTGGCTGCCGGGGCACAGGGGGGTTCGCCGAGGTGGCAGGCGAGGGGGAGGAAAGGAAAAACTATCAAGTGCAAAATCAGGTACTTTATGTCTCTGCACTGATGGTGGTTGTGTCCCATGGACACGCTGAGGAGCCTCTGTACAGTTTCCCAGGCAGCAGGAGTTCTGTGGTCCCGTTTTACTATGTGGCTAATGATTACAGGAAGAGTTTGTATTATTTCAGTTATAATGTACAGATAAGTGTAATATATTCCTGATAATAAATACATGCACCAGCGCACATATGGGCTGATGCATACAAACCAGCGTGTCCTGTTTTCTGTATGTCTGCACACACAGAATCTGGAACAAATGGAAAACAAAGCAAAACCCCATTGAAGGGTTCACAGAATCACAGAATGTCAGGGGTTGGAGTTACCTCATTACATTAAAGACCAAAGCCAGACAGCCACTTAGCCTCCTGGCAACGAACTGGTTACCTGAATATGGTTCACACGTTACTGATCAGATCAAAACTCCCAGGGATTCATTTTCTAAGGGTGCTTCCCATATGGCTGGGGCTCCCAGGAGACCACGGCTGTGGCCTGCAATGTTTTTATTAAAGTGTCAGGCTTTGGGATGTTGTAAGGGGAGCATTTCTGCTGGCCGTTCGGACACAGCAACAAACAAGACTGCTCTGTAACATGCCTGTCGCCCACAGTTCAACACCCCCTCCCCTCACCCCGTCCTCCCACTGAGGGCACCCAGTTCCTCAGGCTTTGCTACAAGGCTTAAAAAGAAGCCATGGCACGGCCCACCTCAGGAACGTGCCCAGTAATGTCCTCGTGAAAGATTTTG